GTACGATAGCAGCACCGACGAGGAAGCAGCCGAAGCCTTGGATCAAAGTTTCGTATTCATTAAACCAGGTTATAATTCCCCGAAATCGGGTTTAATTGTATTAAAGAATAAACCCGATGCCTGCCGCTGGAAAAATCGGAGTTTTTCTACCCATGACCGACGCACGCTGAGCAGTGTCCAGTCACAGCAGTCCTGCTTTCTAGGGGTGCCACGGTGGCTAGGAGATGTTGACTACCTCGCCTGGTATGCAGGAGATCGTGGGGTCGATCCCGACCCTGACGCCTGCTGCTGTATATTTGGAGTTTGTGTGTCTCTCTTTCATCATCATCATCATCATGTTGGCTAAGAGATGTTAACTACCTCGCCTGGTATGCAGGAGATCGTGGGGTCGATCCCGGCCCTGACGCCTGCTGTATATTTGGAGTTTGCGTGTCTCTCTCTCATCATCATCATCACGGTGGCTAAGAGATGTTAACTACCTCGCCTGGTATGCAGGAGATCGTGGGGTCGATCCCGGCCCTGACGCCTGCTGCTGTATATTTAGAGTTTGCGTGTCTCTCTCTCATCATCATCTTCACCGTGGCTAAGAGATGTTAACTACCTCGCCTGGTATGCAGGAGATCGTGGGGTTGATCCCGACCCTGACGCCTGCTGCTGTATATTGGGAGTTTGTGCGTGTCTCTCTCTCTCTCCTCCCCTCGTGGTCGCGTGGATTTTTCTCCGGGTTTTCCCCGCACGTTTAGAAACGTGTGTTTATAGTACTTGGCTACTGTCATAAATTTCCACGTGATAAGCCACTTCGTTGAGCTATCGTTTGTGGCCAGGTCGTTTCTGAAAAAGAGATGTACAGCTCAGTGGGCCTTACCTGGTAAAATAAAATCAATAGTTTACTTTTTAGTCGAGTTTAGAAACTGTATTCTCCACCTTAACTCATAACTTGCCCTCAATCCATTCCATTCCCTTCCCTCCCCTAGTCTCTCCACTCCTTCCCATCCCTCCCCTATACACTCTCGTCTCACTCAAATCCGAACTAGAGGCCTCTTTCTTTTTTTGTGTTACTCGTATAAAAAAAAATGTTCTTCGTCGAAATAGGTCGTTGTCGTATTTTTGGACATTTGAGCGATGGTACTGAACGAGTCGCAACTGCTGGGCACTCCACCCAGCGCCCCTCGTGTGAACGTTGCCTGGCTTGTTTTAGAAGTCGGATTTGTGCTCTGGGATGTGTAGCAGAGCTCATGGGCTCATCTCTGTGATAACTTTGCTGCTGTTGTTGTTGTTTGTGCCCTTTTGTTTGTGGTGCCATTTCGTTATTCGTTTATTTATTCATCTACTATACATTTTTTGCTTTGGTAGGAAGGCTCTATATAAGATTTGGTCCTTATATACAATCAATATATAGCGTCATGGAATGCAATTAGCATGAATGATACTATATAAAATTAAAGTACGGTAGATCATCGATTATCCGGATAATCACTACTAATCATTTTTTTAAATCGCTTATTTTTGCACAATCTTGCACGACGTTATGCTCTTAGGTGTTGCTAAAAGTTTTTCTTTAAGTGTTTTAAATGTGTTTACTGTATGAAATTGGCATAATCGATGACCAACTATATTATTATTACTCTTTGTTTTTTTCGGTAAAGTCACGTAGTTAAAAAAGAGAAAATAAATTAAAACTTCAAATCTATAATTATATTATTATTACCATCATCGTGACCCCACGTGCTCTCTGTTACAATCACTCATTTATCAGGCCTTCCACGCCCTTGCCAGCTCAGTCACTCGATGTTTCGTTACCCCGCTTTTTTATATTTAGAGGGCGCCTTGAGGCAGGGCGCTCTATAATAACGAAGTAAAGATACATCGTAAGAACGAGCTATCGATGCAAAGTCTCGGTGCGGATCTGTCAAGATGCAGGAATAGAGAAATCGACCGAAAGTTCTCGGGACATGACCTACGTGCGGCGAGGGGAAAGCACTCATCCAGCAGTGGATAAGGACACGGGCTCTACGGTGTCCTAACAAATCCCCTAGTCCGCGGCTGTCAACCCAATGGGTTTATCAAGGGACCTCGCCTTGCCAGTATGACAATATGAGAATGGGTTTGACCCTTTCTGGCAATGAAACAGTTGTGTCCAGATGTTAAATCACCAAATAGAAACCCTTTGCAAGGAATCGTATCTGCATTAACCACACACAGGCCTTGTGGTGAACATGCAAACAAAAAACATGCGCTGGTAGTATATGATGATGCATTGATTTTGAAACTGATTGGTCCACAGCACAGACAGCTTTCTATAGAGCCGAGTCTCAAACAGCGTACAGGGAAATTGAGTCTGCAGGTCCATACGTCGCACAGCCGTTTCAATACGGGCACATTTGTTTTGTCTATTTGTTTTTGTTTCTCCCTTGTGATGGGACTTTGTAGGATGCACGTTGAGATTTATAAAGGCACGGGGTGACCAATGAGGTCTGAATTGGTCTGTGATAAGGTAGGCACTGATAAGGGTTTGCCAGGTATGTGAGTCACCCTGTGCTCAATTGAGATTCAGGGATGTGTTCGTCCACAGATGTTGTGAAACTCCTCTCTCGTGGGCACTGCCATAGCTCGGTTTCGCCAGGAGGAGGCAGTGTAGCGTGTTGACGAATCTGCGTCTGCTCAAGCCATTCTGTACGGGGATAGAGCGTTGTCCCCTCTCGCGTGCGTGGAGTTTATCCGGGGCGTTGCGGTTTCCTCTCGCACGTATCAACTGAGTCGTTGATAGGTTGAAAACATCTACAAATAAAAAAAAACCACTGCAAGACGCTGCTGAACAAGAGTCTTTGGACTTAGTGTGGCTCTGACGGGTAAATTCATTTTAAAAAATCTATTGGTTGGTAATAATTCTGCATTCCCATGACATGGACAGTCTCACAAACCACGAACAACTTTTGTACCACCATTGGTACCTCATTTGCCAGTAAAAAATATGATAATTGTTTTTTTACCCTTTTATCTGGCAATAAAACTGACACTCTCATACTCTGATGGTGCATTGTCTTTGAGTTGTGCGCCTTTTGGCGTCATCTGGTCCAATCTATGTGAGACTAGGCTCTAAGGAAAGCTGTCTCGGGTGTGGACCAATCAACTTCAAGGACAGTGCATACATGATCAGAGTTATGTTTTTTGTTTGCATTACGACTGCAGGTATTGTGGTCTATGCAAACATGACTCCTCGTAAAAAAATGTGTCAGTTTTGTTGCCAGATAAAAGGGTAAAAAACCAATTATCAACTTCTGTACCGTTCAAACTCTTAAGATAACTGGGCCTGGGTGGCACACGCCATGGCTAGAAGAGACGATGGCTGATGGCGAGGTGACATAACTATACTAATGATCATTCTGCTCTTAAAAATAATCTATGCCTCGAGTTTGTTGGCTGTTGTCTGTTGGCAAAGGCCCCTCTCCACACGAACATCAACTCGATTGGTAAGTGGCTGCTGCAGAGCCGTTGCCACTGAAACTCGCCGAGTAACTGGCTCACGGGATTTCTCCGCGTAACAAATAAACACTGAGTTGATTTGAAAGGGTGAAAGACGAAATTAGGAAGGCGTAATAATAATAATCATGATAGCTAGCGACACCACAGAGGTGTGAGTAATGAATACAGAGGAGTGACCACGCTGCGTTTTCAATTACTCTAACTCAGTGCTTCTTAACCTGGGGTGCACTCACCCGCTGGGGATGCGAGATGCCCTCTTTGCGAACCAAACGGGTCCAGTGACAGTAAACCACCGCTCTAGCTTTTCAATGTGTACTCCTATGAATGGCATTCTTTTTACAAGAATATCCATTACATCCTAAAGAATATAAAAACATTTCGATTTAAAGCTTTCGTGACTGCAGGGATTCATCTTCTTGGTTCTTTCGGTAAAGTCACGTAGAAGGGAAATAATAAAATAATAAAAGTAAAACATAATCAAATAATTATCACGACGTTTCGGCCACAACGCAAGCAGCCGTCCTCAGGTGAAGAACAGGTCTGTCGGAAAGACAGCGTCTGATTCAGAACAGGTCTGTCGGAAAGACAGCGTCATTTAGACAGCGTCATTTAGACGCTGTCTTTCCGACAGACCTGTTCTTCACCTGAGGACGGCTGCTTGCGTTGTGGCCGAAACGTCGTGAGAATTATTTAATTATGTTTTATTATTATTATTTTATTATTTCGCTTCTACGTGACTTTACCGAAAGAACCAAGAAGAATATTAAAACACCCAACGATACATATCATCTTGGAATTGTATTATTATGTAAAAAGGAAGATTGCTGAGAGTGCCCCGAGCATATGAGGATTGTGAGCAGAGTATTACAATGACGGCTGTTTCTTATTAAACCGTGGCAGAGCAATGTGTTCTCTAGTGGTAATAATGATACGATTATAATTATAGCATGGAGAGGGAAGGAGTCATATTCTTAGGGTTTTTCGGTAAAGTCACGTAGGTAAAAATAAATAATAAAAATAAAATAATAGAAATAATAATAGAAATAAAATTATATATCTCGACGTTTCGGAGGCAACACAAGTCTCCGTCATCAGGTGGGACCGTCACAGCCAGATTTACTGTACCCAGTGCGGTGTGTAAGCGTTGCCACTGGGGAGACAAAGGCGGCCGGGCGTGGTGCTGGCCACCCACCCCCTCGTGTACCGTTCCGGCCTTTACAGATGCTGCTCGCTAACAGCACTTGCCCCAAAAATATTGCTCAGGCTATACGGGGGATCTTTGCCTTTTGCGTGTGTGGTTTTTGTTGCATGTAGTTCCTAGGGAACAATCCCGTGGGCAGGTGAATTTCCAGCACATGCTGGCGGTACATCACTTGCCCCAACAGTCTGTTGAGGCTATACCGGTGGGAGGGGAGGGGGGGAGGACCTATGCCTTTGTCGTGTGCGCGCTTGTCTTTTTGTTGTTGTTGTTGTGGTTGTTGTGGTTGTTGTTGTGGTTGCAACGCGCGCGCATTCACCTGCCAGCGATGGGACGCAGCGGCCGTTCTCGACGCGGGGCTCGATCCGAATCGGGATGCTCTCGATGTGCGGCTCACGCGACGGCAAACGTCGTGTCGGCTCGTCAACGAATTGTCGAGTTTGCTGTGTCGATGGACGAGCAGGAGCCGTGTCCCACTGGCTACGGCGAATCGGAGCGACTGCCCCAAAGGAGGAACCCCCCCTCAACCAAATCCCCTCCACGTGCTCCCACCCCGCGTGCCCCCCGTCTGGTTGTTCTTGAACTGGGCGGTGGGCGGTGCAAGGAGTATGAGCAGCAGAGGTCGCAACCGGGTACCCGATACCCGTACCCTACCCGATACCCGGCCGTGAGTCACTGGTGGGTCACCGTTTGTCACTCATTTCCCAACGTCTTGTCTCTTTTCACAATTCAAGTTCCTAGAATCAACCCACCCGCGCCTGCAACATGGCTTCATCCCAGAAGTCGCAATTGGGTACCCGTACCCTACCCGTACCCAGCCGGGTACGGGTAGGGTACGGCCGGGTACGGGTACCCGTTTGCGACCCTGGTGCGGCCGGGTACGGGTACGGGTAAGGAATCAAAACCCATTTGCGACCTCTGATGAGCAGTGCGGGGAGGGGGCAGTGGCAAATGTTATAAAGAGGCCCCAAATGAACAAAAAAACCGTTCACATTAAATACTCACGTTTTTTTATTGCACCTGAAGACGATTGCTTATGTTGCGATGGAAACGTCGTGATATATATTATAATTTTTCTACCCACGTAGCTTTACCGAATGACCCATATAATAGTAAAGTCATTGTATTTTTTCGTTCGCTATACAGCCAGATAATACGACAAATCGCTAACCTTAAACACCCGGTCGTTCGTAAAAGTTGAAGGCGGTATAGTACTATAGTAATAGAGCAAGTGCAGAATCACTGAACCAGAATTGATGGCTTGAAAGCATTTAGCGCGGGGCCTTTGTAACTACTACATTTGTAGCTACTGTTGCTACTACATATGTAGCTGCTGTTGCTACTACACATGCAGCTACTGTTGCTACTACACATGTAGCTACTGTTGCTACTACACATGTAGCTACTGTTGCTACTACATATGTCGCTGCTGTTGCTACTACACATGTAGCTACTGTTGCTACTACACATGCAGCTACTGTTGCTACTACACATGCAGCTACTGTTGCTACTACACATGCAGCTACTGTTGCTACTACACATGCAGCTACTGTTGCTACTACACATGCAGCTACTGTTGTTACTACACATGCAGCTACTGTTGCTACTACACATGCAGCTACTGTTGCTACTACACATGTAGCTACTGTTGCTACTACACGTGCAGCTACTGTTGCTACTACATTTGTAGCTACTGTTGCTACTACACATGCAGCTACTGTTGCTACTACACATGCAGCTACTGTTGCTACTAAACATGTAGCTACTGTTGCTACTACATTTGTAGCTACTGTTGCTACTACACATGCAACTAATGTTGCTACTAAACATGCAGCTACTGTTGCTACTACACATGTAGCTACTGTTGCTACTACACATGTAGCTACTGTTGCTACTACACATGTAGCTACTGTTGCTACTACACATGTAGCTGCTGTTGCTACTACACATGTAGCTGCTGTTGCTACTACACATGCAGCTACTGTTGCTACTACACATGCAGCTACTGTTGCTACTACACATGCAGCTACTGTTGCTACTACACATGTAGCTACTGTTGCTACTACACATGTAGATGCTGTTGCTACTACACATGTAGCTGCTGTTGCTACTACACATGCAGCTACTGTTGCTACTACACATGTAGCTACTGTTGCTGCTACACATGCAGCTACTGTTGCTACTACACATGTAGCTACTGTTGCTGCTACACATGCAGCTACTGTTGCTACTACACATGTAGCTACTGTTGCTGCTACACATGCAGCTACTGTTGCTACTACACATGCAGCTACTGTTGCTACTACACATGCAGCTAATGTTGCTACTACACATGCAGCTAATGTTGCTACTACACATGCAGCTATTGTTGCTACTAGGATAATTAATCAGGCACTGAGTGCGCGGAATGAAACGTGAACGTGAACAACCTACGGACGCACAAGCCGTGTCTGACGTTGCAGACGCTCGGCCTGTCGCAGGAGCTGCTCACTTCGTGGTCTGTTTGCGCGGATTCGATCCATGGCGCGTTTTTTGTTATGCGTTGTATATTAAGTTTATTCCAATATGTTTCAGTCGTTAAGGTTTGCAAGGAATTCGTTTAAAGCACGGCTTGAACCACAAAGCTCTTTAGCGCAGCTAATCCCACACACACAAAAAAACAATGTACGGAGTTCATATTCTTGGTTCTTTCGGTAAAGTCACGTAGAAGGGAAATAATAAAATAATTAAAATGTAAAAAATAACATTCACACGACGTTTCGACTGCAACACAAGCAATCATCATCGGGTGTGACTTTACCGAAAGAACCAATAATATCAATCCATTGCAGTCACGAAAGCTTTAAATCAAAACGTACGGAGTTGATTTTATTTATTTAAAAACAAATCTGACCCCCCCACCACTCCATTTGGACTTTGTACAAATTGCAATTTCATCGCGGGGCAAATCAGGACGCGTAAAGCCAACGTCGCGAATTCATGAACCACTTTGATGGCGTGATAATAGGGGTTTCCCCTTTTTTCTGGCAACAAAACAGCTGTGTTAAGATGAAAAAAACACCAAACTGAAACATTTTACAAGGAATCATGTGTGCATTAACCACAATACTTGTGTTCAGAATGCAAACAAAAAACATCCTCTGCTAACACTGGTCAACAAACTTTTTCTGGCATAAGGTATTCCAACGGTTTTAAGGTAAGTTTGGGGTGCTGATTCCAAATCTGGCATCAGTTTTTGTCTATCACATCTAATTTTTATGCTATCGGCATACCCCATTTTCATTGATTTTACCCGAAATTAACTCTGTCACTTATGATTGCAAGTTGTTGCGAGTCAGTGACTGCTTTAGTGTTAAAATATGGTGCTGTATTTTTAGGATAGTGTGTTTATAATATCATTTTATGTAGATATCCACATTTATTTAATATTTTTCTTCTGCAGTTTTTATTGAAAATGCAATATTTGATATCTCAAAAACCTGATGTGATAGACAAAAACTGATGCCAGATTTGGAATCAGCACCCCAAAATTACCTTCAAACCGTTGGAATACCTTATGCCAGAAAAAGTGTGTTGACCAGTGTTCTCAGTGGCGTAGCAACTACATTCCACTGGTCTACAATTTTTTAGACGTCGTCTGCTTCAGAGATGAAATGTGCTCTTTATTATAGACTTTCATGTGCTGAATTCAAATATGACAATTAAATCAACTGATTGGCTACTGTTCCCGAGATATTGAAGTTTTTACATTTTACGTCTATGTATATTGTGTAGATAGTAGAGCTTAACTCGTAAATTGTAAGCCTCGGTCTTTTCATATGTTTATGGTTGCTTTACATGACAATATGTCACCTGTCCTGTTCATGTAACACTTTAAAAATCAGCAAAAGGGTTTAAAAAAATTGTATTTTGAAACAAAAGTAAAAAAAAAACTATTGTATAAAAAAGTACACAGTTTAGCCGTTATTCAGTGTCTACTCGGCACTTCTCGGCTTGTCTCTTGTATTCATTAAATGGAGCGTCTCTTGTCACTGTCCAGAAATAGTTTGCAAGCATTGATGGGCTCCATTTGCCCCGAGAGCGTTTCTCCATTGTCGCAAAGTCCTGGTGGCATCGCTCGCCACGCTCGTCGCTCGCTGCTCTGCAGTTCGGTGCGGAAAAGTCTAGATGAGAGTGCAAAACATGTATCTTTACTGATATGTTGCAAACAAGGCTTTTGTATGCGTTGAATAGGGTTTTCACCAACTCCCTGTCGTTGCCTGCCTTGTTGTTCACAAGAAAATGTGTTGCCACTAATTGGAAAGCTTTCCATGCCGTCTTTTCCTTGCCACGCAGAGTGCACTGTCAAATGCATCATCTCGAAAAAGTTCATGAATTTGAGGACCAACAAAGGCACGTTTTTTTTTATCTTAGTTTCACTTAACCTTGGACATTTTCCACGGAGGTGCTTGAAAGCTGCGTGTGTCTTGTCCATGGCTTTGATGAAGTTCTTCGTCAGACCCAGCTTGATGTGTAAGGATGGTAACAACATTTTCCTTGACTCAACAAGTGGTGGATGCTGAACAATTTTCCTCCCAGGCTCCAATGACTGTTGGAGTGGCCAATCTATCTTGATGTAGTGGGAATCTCTCGCAAGACTATCCCATTCGTAGAGAAATCAGCAGCAGTACTTTGTGTGTCCTGTCTGCAGACCAAGCAATAGAGCAACAACCTTCAAATCGCCACAAAGTTGCCACTGATGTTGGTCATAGTTTATGTACCCCAAAAGTTGTTTCGTGTTGTAATAGGTTTATTTCATATGGACTGCATAACCAACTGGAATTGATGGCAAAACATTGCCATTATGCAGCAAAAGAGCTGGAAGGCTCATCTTCGATTAATCAATGAAGAGTCTCCACTCATCTGGATCATGAACGATGTTGAGGGCTGCCATCAAACCATCGATTTTGTTGCAGGCTACACGATCACCTTCGATGAAGAAAAATGGGACAAGATCCTTTTCCCGGTCACATGGAAACCATAACATCACCTGCCAGGAGATTCCACTGCTGCAATCTGGAGCCCAACAGCTCTGCCTTACTCTTGATTAGTTCCAAATCCCTGACAAGGTCTTTCAGTTCACCTTGTGGTATGAGATGTGGTTCAGAGATGGAGGATGGGAGAACATCTGGGTCATGTGACCTTGATAGTTCAGAACCAGAAGTTTCATCCTCTTCCTCGTCTGACTCAAGTGAGAATGATTCTGGTGCATCAGGAACCGACATTCCTTCTCCGTGGGGTACTGGGCGTATAGCTGATGGAATGTTTGGATAATGCACAGTCCACTTTTTCTTGACACACCTTTCCCAACTGGAGGCGGCATGCAGAAGTAAAAATTGCTGATACGATCTGTTGGTTCTCTCCAAATCATTGGCACTGCAAAAGGCAATGAGTTCATTTTCCTGTTAAACCACTGGCGAACATTTGTTGCACAAGTGTTGCAGCATATGTGTGGGGCCCACATCTTGTCCC